TTTTGCTCACTATTAGGAGGGCTAAAACAACACGGGTTCGATCCTCCTTGTAGTCGCAGTGTTGTTATATATATATATATATATATATATATATATAATATATATATATATATATTATATATATATATATATATATATATTTATATATATATATATTATTCTAGGTAGTAGGTTGGTAGACAGCAACCGCCCAGGGAGGTACTACCGTCCTGCCAAGTGAGTATAAAACGGAAACCTGTAATTGTTTTACATGATGGTAGGATTGCTGGTGTCTTTTTTGTCTCATAAACACGCGGGATAACAGGTACATCGTGCTACTTATACTTAGGTCACCCTAAACATACAATGTACACGCATGTATGTTTACATACCCATCTGAGCTTTCTTCTATTTTCTTAATAGTTCTTCCATTAATGTTTGTATAATTACCTATAATATGTTAAGTAAAAGGGCACAAGCGCAACTAATCCTACATTTTATTATGGCAGCGTTTCACTTTCCTGGAGTTTTGTCAAGCCATTACAAACAATGCATAGACACAGATGGTATATATAGGCTTAGAGTAAGGTGTAATGCACAATATAATCATTGTGCTCCTACAGCAATTATACTGTGCCTTACACCTCACTCTAAGCTTATACCCCGGGTCTATGTATTGTTTCTAATGGCTTTACAAAGCCCATGGAGAGTGAAACGTTGCCACAATAAAATATTGCATTAGTAATACTTGTTTCCTTTTACTTAATAGTTCTTGTTCTTCTTTATTTTCTCTTATCTCAATGGGGAAGTAGAAAAGAATTCTTCCTCCATAAGCCACGGATGTCATAAGAGGTGACTTAAAAGCCAGGTACAAGGGGCTAGTAACCCCTTCTTTATAAATTACTAAATTCAAAAAAAAAACTTCCGTTTTTTTAGGTTTCCCTGCCTCTGTGAGATACAGAAAGTTTGTTGAAATATTTTTTTTTATTACACATCGGCCGATTTCCACCAAGGCAGGGTGGCCCGAAAAAGAAAAACTTTCATCATCATTCACTCCATCACTGTCTTGCCAGAAGGGTGCTTCACACTACAGTTATAAAACTGCAACATTAACACCCCTCCTTCAGAGTGCAGACACTGTACTTCACATCTCCAGGACTCAAGTCCGGCCTGCCGGTTTCTCTGAATCCCTTCATTAATGTTACCTTGCTCACACTCCAACAGCACACCAAGTATTAAAAACCATTTGTCACCATTCACTATCAAATACGCTCATGCATGCTTGCTGGAAGTCCAAGTCCCTCGCACACAAAACCTTTACCTTTTCCCTCCAACCTTTCCTAGGCCGACCCCTATCCTGCCTTCCCTCCACTACAGATTTATACACTCTCGAAGTTATTCTGTTTCGTTCCATACTTTATACATGTCCGAACCACCTCAACAACCTTTCCTCGGCGCTCTGGACAGCAGTTTTGGCAATCCCGCACCTCCTCCTAACTTCCAAACTACGAATTCTCTGCATTATATTCTCACCACACATTGCCCTCAGACATGACATCTCTATTACTTCCAGAGATCAGTGTTTGTGTATATTTCTCCTGCTCTTGCGAATTCCTTGCATTGTTAATATCTCTAGTAAGGCTGATACATGCAGGGGATGAAATGAAAAGCTGTAAGCTTTCTCCCTGAAAGCTGTCTGCCTTGGATCAAACTCTAGCGCAAGCTGGACTCCAAGGTATTGGTCCAGTGTGGGTAGATTGGTAAAGCACTGCATACCTTGTTCCAAGGTACAAATGGTATTGATCAATAACAGCACTGCAACTCGCCAATGACTCGAACCCATGCTGCTTTGGCCCGACTCATGGTGAGCGAAAACACATGATGCTCTAACCCGCAGACTCACGCAATCCTTAAAAATGACGCAGTCAGCCAAGGTAGGTGGCTGGGTGCGTCATTTTTGAGGATTGTGTGGTCCTGTGGGTTAGAGTATCATGTGTTTTCACTCACCATGAGGCGGGCCAAAGCAGCATGGGTTTGAGTCTTGATTTCTTTTGCTCTGAGTTACGAGCCAACACAACCGAATTATGAACCAGCTTCCCCCACTTCCCTCTCAACCCACAACCCACCTCGCTTGTTTATCTATGATTTCATGCTTTAATTCCATGGACATCTTCTTTTTCTTCTCAGCACTGTCCTTGACACTTACTTTCTTAGGACCCATGGTTAGAAAAAATAAATTTTTCAAAATAAATACACAAAATGCAAGCAAACACGAGAGAAATGCTTCCACAGCGAGGTAAATAGTACACTGTACCAGTTGGCTGCTTTCTGAAGCTTCTCGTTATAATAATAATAATAATTATTATTATTATATTATTATTATATTGGTTTTGATAAGGACTTGCTTTGTATGGACCAGTAGGCCTTCTGCAGTGTTCCTCCATTTTCATGTTCTCATATATTGAAAGTGTTCAGTATCATAATGTCACGTGTTAACTCCTCTGTCAGCGTTGCATTACTAGTGTTCTCATATGTTCTTGAATGCCTTAGTGTCGAATTTTGCACAGAAAAGCATCATTTGTTAGTACAAGTCATATTGTAATGATATTACCGCATGCTCAGTGCGAGTGTGCAGGTATTCCATGTGTTCCGATGACATACCCCTCAAGGAAGGTTCCTTGATGTTGGTGAGGGGCTCTTGATTTAGGGAATTGGATCTGTGCTCCAGTTCCCCGAATTAAGCCTGAATGCCTTCCACATCCCCCCCCCCCCAAGGCGCTGTATAATCCTCCGGGTTTAGCCCTTCCCCCTTGATTATAATAATAATAACCCGATGAGATAGCCTGAGCCCAGATCAGTGTGTAGAACACAGTGTGATCTGAGCCCAGACCATTGTAACACTCGTGTTGCATGTCACCCTGATGTGACCATTCGACAACTGACACTAGTCAGTTCAGGCGTCATATACGTGAGTCGTCTGAGCACTTTGTATTGAAAGTAAATATGCTCACCGCTTTCGAAGATATCACGTCAGAGTCGTCCCTGCTACGACTCACCCTCTCCTTCATGCAAGCACCACTAAGCTGTGCTGTGCGGAGGTTCCGGCAGTTCTCAGTAGTAACCAGTTACTAGTCTCGTAGTGACTCACTACCTACCGTTTGTGTGAATCACTTGTTATTCACTGTTACCGCTGACCCTAGCATGATTTTGAATGCCGCTTGCCCTCTGTGGCACTCAGCAAGCCAGTTCAAGTAGAGGCGTTAGACAGGCGGAAGGTCAGGCTTGGTGCTCCCCATATATTCCATCCAATATACGTACTTAACAGCCTACGTGAGTGTTTCTTACCCAATCCACGTTTCGAACCCCCACATGACACAGTGACTGCCTCTGCGATAGTACCAGTCGAGAAAATCCTCATGAGTCGCATGGCCAGAAGTCCTGCCGAGTTCTGACGATACTTCACTCGAGAGCACCAGCAGGTTGTGCCCCAGGTTGAGTTAACCCTAAGAGCGATTACCCCATGATGATTGCCTCACCGTTCCAAATGAGATCGTACCCTGTTCCGCAGCTCAGCCACAGCAATGTCTCTAGATGTGTTTCAGTATCTGTCCAGACGCAGGAAGGCATGCAGTGAAACCCACCGAGGATCACTGTGTTGACACAGGATGTTTTAAGCAAACCCCACTTTTTTATCATTCCTGAAGGAAGTTTTTTATTCACGTTTTGTCCATGTGCTTGTGCCCTGTTCCTGCCAGAGAGAGAGAGACCAAGTTTTATTCAGTCACTTGACACGGTAGAGGTCGACCGGTCGATCCGAGCGATGTATATCCTGTTGGGTTTATATTTCACACCATGCCAGTGCTGCCATCTAGCGGGCTTAGGCCTAGCTTCAGTCCGTGAGATGCTGTATGGTCCTCACTCTCACAAAGTAGCCTACAGACAACAGGTTCTTCTTCTCTCTCCCTCGCAGGCTGGGGCTCTGACTGGCCCCCAGGGCAAGTTTAAATACATTGCCTATATTCAAGAACCCAATAAAGTAACATGTCACCTCTGAAAAGTATCATTCACCACACCAAATATACCCATTTTCTCGATATACATATATATACATTATATATATACATATATGTATATATATATATATATATATATATATATATATATATTATATATATATATATATATATATATATATATATATATATGTATATTTGTGCTAAATAGGTAAAACTGGTTAATTAGCGGGAAGTCATTTAAAATTTAACCCTTTCTAGAAAATTCTCTTATATTGCTAAAAATGTATTTTATGTTAATGTAAAAAATTAATAATTTTGTACCAAAAGAACCTTAGAAAACTTACCTAAACTTATAATAACAAGCACAATTTATTTAGACTAATCCAACTAAATATAACTAACTATAAAAATATAAGGTTAACAGGAAGGCATATAAGGACGAGACTACACCTCACTGCCACCCACAACACCTGACATTTTATAATGATGTAGGTAGGTAGTCAGTGATCTGTGAAACACAGCTTATATTCTGGCCAAAAATTTGTCCAATGTATCTTAAATTCTTCCCAAATTTTATTACTTATAAATGAATCCCATTTATATAAACCAAAAAAAAATTCATATTTTCAAAACTACTTTTTATGAAACATGATTCTATTATACTGGTGTCGACCATGGACTTGCTTGATATAACTTTCTCAGACTTTTGAAAATAAATTGGATGGTTAAAATCTTTCTCATGAATAAGCAAAACATTAGAATCTTGTCCAGTTCTAATGCTATATTTATGTTGTTTAACCTTAGTTCGAGATTTTTACCAGTTTGACGGTAATAAACTTTATCACATATTTGACAAGGAATCTCAGACACATCCGTCAGCACTTTTTGGGGGATTTTTTTATAATAAGTTTTCTAACTGTATCAAGATTTTTAAATACAATGAACATCAGAACCTGCCTGATTACATATTAAATTTCTATCTGCATTCGCATTAAACAATCAATACAAGAGAGAACGCAATCAAATAACAACAATACGCCAAATGCCACAGCTTACAAAGAAGTCAAGCAGAACAGAAGCGAGTTTGTCTGCGTCTGCCCGCTGGAGACAGCCCAGGAGGCCGTGACTGTCCTCCAGCTCCCCACATCCTACTGTCCGACCGGCGTGAAGGGCCAGATCCCGACGAGACTTGGAGTGCGCCCACGGGTTGAGGGCAGACCCAGACTGCATGATGGCCCGGGAGTAGAGACCTACGGTGGAAAGTCACAGAGAAGGTGAGAAGATATCTGCAAAATTATTATATTCATGGAGTTGCGCTTAACCCGTAAGGGTCATACAGCTCTTGGAAAATAGGAGTCAATCAGGGTTGATTTCTAAAAATAAAAGTATAGATTTAAAACCTACGATCAATAGCATCTCAGTCGCATCAATAAAGGTTGAAAAGGATGAATGGGACCAAGACTTCTATGAAATTTTACGAAGTTGGGGAAAAGTACTGTTGTGGATAATGCTTTTTTGGTGTGTGTGTGTGTGTGTGTGTGTGTGTGTGTGTGTGTAAACAAGCCACGAAGCTGCCACTGACCTCGGGACTTGGGCGACAGTAGGTGGTAGCTGACGGAAGCAGCGCCGGCGCTCTCTCCGAAGATGGTGACCTTCTGTGGATCACCACCGAAGTGGTGGATGTTCCTTTGCACCCACTGCAGTGCCAGGACCTGGTCCAGCAGCCCGAAGTTGCCAGGGATAGCGTCGTCCTCCGTGGAGAGGAAGCCTGGTGATAGAGACAGTGGCAGCTACTTCAGAACCTGTGGGCGAACTATTACTGATGCTGTAATAATGTTGATAAAATTACCAACATTTTAGGTAGAACGACACCTGTGCAACTAATTTGATATTTTTATTGTTGAAACAATAAAATGTCGCATTAGTTGTACATGTGTCCTTTTACCTATTACTAATACCGTTTTCGTATACTAATTGTTTTCATATACGAACTTGCATATGCCTCCTTGATAATATTAAGGGCAAAAGAGCTCATCTAGCACACCCTAGACCTATTGTGGGTGGCACCATATCGCAGTTGGTAGAGACAGTGGCAGCTGCTATAGAACCTGAGGACGAACTATTACTGATGCTGTAATAATGTCGGTAGAATTGCCAACAATATTTTAGGTAGAACGACACATGTGCAACTGATGTGACATTTTTATTGTCGAAACAATAAAAATGTTACACATGTGTCCTTTTACCTATTACTAATGCTGTTTTCGTATAGTAACTGTTTTCATTTACAAACTTGCATATTCCTCCCTGATAATATTAAGAGCAAAAGAGCTCAGCTATCACACCCTAGATTTATTTTGGGTGACACCCTATCGCAGTTGGTCATGATCCTCATCTCCACGCCTCCATCTTTCCTTCATATAATCTTCTAAATATAATAATTAAAAAAGTCCATCCTTCCTTCATATAATCTTCTAAATATAAAAATTAAAAAAGTCCTCCTTATTCAAAGAGGAAAATTCTTAACTCTATTAGTTTTAGCGGTTCAAAAGTCTGTTTAAGAAGCAACTCGCAAATATACGCCACATAAAGTGAGGACACATTTAGTGAGATTTTTTTTTTTTTTACACGGCTTCATGTTGTAAACCATTCCTTATTTTTTTCTCCAAATTCGTGCCCCTTTCCCTCTGCCCCCTAGAAATTACTCACGCCCCAATAGGGAAGCGAGCTTCAAACCCCCTCCACCTACCCGGTTAAGAACCGCTGCACCACTAGCATCATCTCTATACCCACTACAGTCAACCTCCGTCAACACAACCACTTCCATCTTTGGCAACGCTAGCACCCCCAGATGGCTCTGTAGCACTACCAGCAGGTCTCTCCTACCACCATCAGATGGTACTGCAGCACCACCAGCAGACGGCTTCATTTAGTCTCCCAGATAGCCCTGTAGCACCACCAGCAGGAAGCCTCTCCTAGCACCCTCAGATGGTACTGTAGCACCACTAACAGGTCTCTCCTAGAACCACCAGATGATTCTGTAGCACCACTAACAGGACTTTTCTAGCACCCCCAGATGACAGTGTAGCACCATCATGAGGTCTCTCCTAGCATCACCAGAAGGTTATGTAGTACCACCAGCAGGTCTCTTACATTATCCTAGATGGCACTGGAGCACCAGCAGCAGGTCTCCCCTAACACCCCCAGATGGCACTGGAGCACCACCAGCAGAAGGCCTCATTTAGTCTCCCAGATGGTGCTGCAGCACCACCAACAGGTGGTTTCATTTAGTCTTCCAGGTTGCGCAGGAGCACCACCAGCAAAGGCCTCATTTAGTCTCCCAGCTGGTGCTCCAGCACCACCAGCAGAAGGCCTCATTTAGTCTTCCAGATGGTATTGCAGCAGCACCAGCAGATTTCACCTAGCACCCTGCAGGTGGTATTACAGCACCACTACCTAGAACCTTCACCTAGCACAACCACCAACAAGAACCCCTCACCTAGCACTCCCAAGCGATACTGCATCACCACCAGTATCATGTCGTGGATGAGAAGGACGTTGGGACCGGAGTCGCTGGCGCTCCCGCAGAAGAAGGCGCCGCCGTGGATGAAGACCATCACAGGCAAGTCCCTCCTGCCGCTACCAGGCTCCTGCAACACCACACTTTCTTGCAAAGCAAAACACACAGGCCAAACGAGAATATTTTCTTTTATATTCTTAAGGTGGGGTTAAAGATTATTACAGCATAGTTTATGAGCTTCTAAACAGGTTAATAGGTGGTGTGTGTTAGTTACCATTTTGCCTTAGGCACATGTCGATTAGACATTAGGCCTGTTGTATATGCGTGCATGTATATGTGTGTGTTTGTGTGTGTGTGTGTGTGTGTGTGTGTGTGTGTGTGTGTGTGTGTGTGTGTGTGTGTGTGTGTGTGTGGATTTTTGTGTGTGTGGGGTTGTGTGTGTGGATTTTTGTGTGTGTGGTTGTGTGTGTGAATCTGTGTGTGGGGTTGTGTGTGTGTGGGGTTGTGTGTGTGTGTGGTTGTGTGTGTGTGTGTATGTACTCACCTAGTTGTAGTTGCGGGGGTCGAGTCACAGCTCCTGGCACCGCCTCTTCAACTGACCGCTACCAGGTCACTCTTCCCGCTCCGTGAGTTTTATCATATCTCTTCTTGAAGCTATGTATGGATTCTGCCTCCACTACATCACTACCCAGGCTATTCCACTTCCTGACAACTCTGTAACTGAAGAAATACTTTCGAACATCCCTGTGGTTCATCTGAGTCTTCAGCTTCCAACTGTGACCCCTTGCTGCTGTGTCCTATCTCTGGAATTTACTGTCTCTGTCCACCTTGTCTATACCTCTCAGTATTTTATATGTCGTTATCATATCCCCCCTAGCTCTCCTGTCTTCTAGTGTCGTCAGGCCGATTTCCCTTAACCTCTCCTAGTAGGACATACCTCTTAGCTCCGGGACTAGTTGCAAACTTTTGCACTTTCTCTAGTTTCCTTACATGCTTGTCTAGGTGAGGGTTCCAAACTGGCGCTGCATATTGCAATATGGGCCTAACGTACACAGTGTACAGGGTCATGAATGACTCCTTATTTAGATGTCAGAATGCTGTTCTTAGGTTTGCCAGGCGCCCGTATGCCACAGCAGTTATTTGGTTGATGTGCGCCTCAGGAGATGTTCCCGGTGTTATACTCACACCAAGATCCTTTTCCTTGAGTGAGGTTTGTAGGCTTTGGCCCCCTAGACTGTACTCCGTCTGAGGTCTTCTTTATCCTTTCCCAATCTTCATGACTTTGCACTTGGTGGGGTTGAACTCCAGGAGAAAGTTTCTGAACCAGGCCTGCAGTCTGTCCAGATCTCTCTCTCTGTAGTTCTGCCTGGTCTTCGTCCGACTGAATTCTTCTCAGCAACTTCACATCATCTCCAAACAGGGACACTTCGGAGTCTATTCCTTCTATCATGTCGTTCACAAATACCAGAAACAGCACCGGTCCTAAGACTGATCCCTGTGGCACCCCGCTCGTTACTGGCGCCCACTCTGACACCTCGCCATGTACCATGACTCGCTGCTGTCTTCCTGACAGGTATTCGTTGATCCACTGTAGTGCCTTCCCTGTTATCCCTGCCTGGTCCTCCAGCTTCCGCACTAATCTCTTGTGTGGAACTGTGTCAAACGCCTTTTTACAGTCCAAGAAAATGCAAACTACCCACCCTTCTCTCTCTTGTCTTACTGCCATCACCCTGTCATAGAACTCCAGTAGGTTTGTGATGCAAGATTTCCCATCCCTGAAACTATGCAGGCTGTTGTTAAGCTCATTCCTTTCTAGGTGCTCCACCACTCTTCTCCTGATAATCTTCTCCGTGACCTTGCATACTATACACATCATTGACACTGGTCTGTAGTTTAATGCTTCGTGTCTGTCTCCTTTTTTAAAAATTGGGACTACATTTGCTGTCTTTCATACTTCCAGTAGTCGTTCTGTTTCGATAGATGTGTTGAAGATAGTTGTTAATGGTACACAAAGCGCCTCTGCTCCCTCTCTCAGGACCCATGGAGAGATGTTATCTGGCCCTATTGCCTTTGAGGTATCTGCCTCGCTTAACAGCCTCTTCACTTCTTCCTCGGTTGTATGTATTGTGTCCAACACTTGATGGTGTACCCCACCTCTCTGCCTTTCTGGAGGCCCTTTTGTCTCCTCTGTGAACACTTCTTTGAATTTTCTGTTGAGCTCCTCACATACTTCACAGTCGTTTTTGGTGACCTCCCTTCCTTCCTTCCTCAGCCTGATTACCTGGTCCTTGACTGTCGTTTTCCTCCTGATGTGGCTGTACAACAGTTTTGGGTCAGATTTGGCTTTTGCTCTATGTCATTTTCATATTGCCTTTGGGCCTCCTGTCTTACCTGTGCATATTCATTTCTGACTCTACAACTAGTCTCCTTTTTCTCCTGGGTCCTTTGCCTTCTATACTTCTTCCATTCCCTAGCACACTCGGTTTTGGCCTCCCTGCACCTTTGGGTGAACCACAGGCTCAACCTGGCTTTTTCATTATTCCTGTTACCCATGGGTACAATCCTCTCAGTTTCTTTACATATTGTTGTCACATATTATAGTATCTCGTCCACTGACTTTCCTGCCAGTTCTCTGTCCCACTGAACCCCGTTGAGGAAGTTCTTCATGCTTGAGTAGTTCCCTTTCTTGTAGTTTGGCTTCATTCGTCCAGCCCTTCCTGCTTCCCCTTCCACTTGTAACTCTACTATGTATTTGAAGCTTAAAACCACATGATCACTGGCCCTGAGAGGTCTTTCATATGTGATGTCCTCAATATCAGCACTACTCAAGGTGAATATTAGGTCCAGTATCGCTGGTTCATCCTCTCCTCTCTCTCTGGTAGTGTCCCTTAAATGTTGGTACATGAGGTTTCCCAGTACCACCTCCATCATCTTAGCCCTCCACGTTTCTTGGCCCCCATGTGGATCCAATTTCTCCCAATCAATTTCCTTGTGGTTGAAGTCACCCATGATCAGTAGCTTTGCCCTGCTAGCATGAGCTCTTCTGGCCACTTCAGCCAGTGTGTCAACCATCACTCTATTACTCTCATCATACTCTTGCCTTGGCTTCCTTCTGTTCTATGGCAGGTTATACATCACAGCAATTAGCACCTTGGGACCTCCAGACTGAAGCGTTAGTACTATGTAATCTCTTGCTTCTCCTCTGTCTCCTCTCTCCAGCTCATCAAAATCCCATCGGTTTTTGATCAGCAGTGCCATCCTCCACCCCCTCTGTTCCCTCTGTCTTTCCTCAGGATCTGATATCCCATTGAAAAGATGGCATCTGTTATCATCCCTGTGAGCTTGATTTCTGTGAGTGCTATGATGTCCGGTGAGGCCTCTTTGACTCTTTCGTGCCACTCCTCCCACTTATTTGTTATTCCATCAGTGTTGGTGTACCATACCTTCAGTTTCCTTTCCAGCACTGTGTTTTGGGCGGTCTGTGAGGGTGGGGGAAATGGCAGTGTACTGTGGGATTCGACAGCATAGTGTGGGGTGGGGGCTATGAATGTGGATTGCGGTATGTGTTGGGATAGTGTGATTGGTTGTGGGGTTCTGGGGTGGTTCTGTGTGTGCTTGCTCTTGTTGCTCTGCCCTGCTCTGGTTGTCCTCTGCTGATTCTGTCCTTGTCTCTTTACCTAGCTCCGTTCTGTTTTTGTTCTGTCTCGGTCTAGGAACACCCCCTTGTATGCTGCCGAATCCTTCAACTGTGGTTTCTCTTGGAGGATCCTGTTCTGCATCGTGTATGTATGTGTGTGTGTGTACGTGTGTGTGTGTGTGTGTGTGTGTGTGTGTGTGTGTGTGTGTGTGTGTGTGTGTGTGTGTGTGTGTGTGTGTATGTGTGTGTGTGTGTGTGTGTGTGTGTGTGTGTATGTGTGTGTGTGTGTGTGTGTGTGTACTCACCTGTATGCGGTTGCAGGGGTCGAGTCACAGCTCCCTGCCCCACCTATTCACTGGTCGATAGTAAGTCACTCTTTCCTGCTCCATGAGCTTTATCATACCTCTTCTCTAAGTTATGTATGGATCCTGCCTCCACTAACTCACTTTGCAGACTATTCCACTTCCTGACAACTCTATAACTGAAGAAATACTTCATAACATTCCTGTGGCTCATCTGAATCTTCAGCTCCAATTGTGACCCATTGTTGGGGTGTCCCATCTCTGAAACATGCTGTCTCCATCCACCCTGTCAATTCCTCTCAGTATTTTATATGTCTTTATCATGCCCTCTCTATCCCTCCTGTCCTCCAGTGTCGTCAGTTCGATTTCCTCTTAACCACTATTCATAGAACATCCCCCTTAGCTCCAGGACTAGTCTTGTTGCAGATCTTTGCACTTTCTCTAATTTATTGATGTGCTTGACCAGATGTGGGTTCCCAACTGGTGCTGCATATTCCAATATGGGCCTGATGTACACAGTGTACAGATTCTTGAACAATTGCTTACTGAGATGTTGGAATGCTATTCTTAGGCTTGCTAGGTGCCCATATGCTGCAGCAATTATTTGGTTGATATGTGCCTCATGAGATGTGTTCGGTATTATACTCACCCCAAGGTCCTTTTTCTTGAGTAAGGTTTGGAGTCTTTTGCCCCCTTGCCTGTATTCTGTCTGCAGTTTTTTTTTTTTTTTTTGCCCTTCCCCGATCTTCACGACTTTGCACTTGATGGGGTTAAAGTCCAGGAGCCAGTTGCTGAACTAGGCTTACAGCCTGTCCAGACCTCTTTGTAGTCCTGCCTGATCCTTATCTGACTGATTTCTCGTCATTAGCTTCACATCGTCTGCAAACATTCACACTTCTGAGTCTGTTCCTTCCATCATATCATTCACATATACCAGAAACAGCACCAGTCCTTGGACTGACCCCTGTGGAACCCTGCTTTTCACAGGCGTCCACTCTGACACCTCGTTATGTACCATGACTCAGTGTTGAATTCCTGTCAGGTATTCTCTGATCCATTGCATTGTTTTTCCTGTTATGCATGCTTGATCCTCTAGCTTTTGCACTAATCTCTTGTGTGGAACTGTGTCGAAACCCTTCTTTTAGTACAAGAAAACGCAATCTACCCCCCCTCTCTCTTTTGTATTACTTC